TGTATCAGAGGCAAAGAGGAGGATGGGCACCGGCCATCTGTGCGCTTTTATCCGGCTCCAGTCATGGGAAGTAGTTTTTTAACGAAGCCCAGGTATGGTAGGGGTTCCTGGGTGTGTGGGATGATTACCTCGTGCGAAAAAAAAAATTTGCCCACCGCGGTGCTCCTTCCCTCCTAAAGCTTACTTAAACCAGGCATGTTCCTGATATAACACGGCACAACACGTTTCTTTGAGTTCATTTCTTGTTATACTAACATTGTGATAGGTGGCCCCGCCCCCAACTAAATTTTCACCACTTCGCCTTCGCCAGGACTGCAACCCTTGCCTGTGCTCTACGGGCACCGTGCTATTTGCTCCTTACACTACTGGGACCCCGTCTGCCGTCTCCCTCTCAATGGCTCCTCGTCTGAGGTTGAAATTTTGCTATTACCTCGTCATTCTTGTGAGAAACGATACCTTATTTGTGGCTAGAACCCTCCGAGATGGTTGACCGACGAAAGGCTCTCCTGGGAGGGTAAAAGCACTGACTTGTACATCGACTGGCCAGCACAAGGCATTGTGTAAGCCGGGCACGCATTCAATACACCATTTACGGCTAGGACTGAAACGCAAAGGCGGGGGAGCAACCTTCAGAGGCGCCCAAGAACTCTATCCTTTGAAACTTCATACGACAACCTTGTTTTAAACGTTTTTCCTTGACGAAATCAGTGGCTGTTATATATGGCCAACTCTTTCCAGATATTTACTCGAACATCAGAAATCGGGTGAACTGTACCTCTTTTTTCTTCTGCTCAACATTACGAGCAGTTTCAGCACGACTTTTCTGAAAAAACGCGAGTCAAAATATCAATTGATTTTCGTACTTCTCTACTTTCTTGCCCTTTCTCCCACCCTACCTCCTCGCCAACACCCTCCAAACACTGCCCTTCTCCCTCTGTGAGGGGTTACTATGCGAAAAATCATTATCAATCAATCAAGAAGCTCTCACAGCAGCAAAGGAACTCGGGACTTCAACATCTACTTCGTCATCCATTCCACCTCTTCACTGAAAAAGTATACGTATACTTAAACAGAATTAATAAACGAGAACCTTTTTACCAACACGTCACGTGACTTACAGTTACTGAAATGAAACTCACCGGAGTTCGAGCCCACCGCATTTCAAAGTGGATATCAAGAAGTTGGAGTTTATCGCTATTATCAACTTCCAGTCATATTATCAGTGAGATTTTCCTCTGAAGATCTACGTATACTCAAGAAAGTATTGGTTTTGCGGTGGTATCAATATGAATTCATTAAGGACGTTCCTCTTGTCGTATTACCTCTCATACTTTCTCTAGCTGACTACAAGTTTTGACAAGAAGGTGTACCAGGATCGAAAGAATGGTTTTCATCTCAGGATGGTGTGGAGGGTTGTGTCGTCCGCGCCTCCACGGGCGTCCATGCGATCAGTCCCTTCGGCGAACTGGG